ATTTTGGATCATTCGTTGTTCCCTTGTCCCTGGGTTGGTCACACCACCTCCTTTCCCCTCCTCCCCCTCTCCCGTGTCCCCCCGGAACCATTAGTCCCGTAGTTTTTCTCCTGCAGACTGTTCATCCACCCTATCTTATCTTGATAGATCTGCAGAGATAATAATATGCACCAAAACAAGGCATAGCAAGACAAAGTGACAAAAGAGAACACAGCGACAACAAAGAAAACCAATGACCACGAATAAATAAATAATTAAAAATAAAATTAATTAATAAAAAAAAAGAAAAACCTGTAAATATTTCAAGGTCTGTTTGTTGACCTTTAGGAGTGTCTTCCAGTCGAGTCCGATTGGGTGCCATGCTCTGGCCCCAAAGTCTATACTTTGCACTCCCTCGGGACCTCCATGCTCTGCCACACACCCTTAGTGTTTTGCATCTGTGTGGTCGAGTTAGACCAGGTTAATCCTGATACTGAGTCTCCAGTGTTGTTCCCCGTAGGGCTATGGGTCAGCGAGGGACGTCGTGTCTCATATGGTCCACATCAGCCATATGGTCCACTCTGTGCATTGGCTGTTCTGAGTGGGTATCGTCCTCCAGGCCTGGTGGACCAGGATGTGCTCCACTCTCTCTTCCTCCCCCTTCATTTGCTACCGTGTGCTCTGATCAGACATGTCCCTCTTTCCAAGCTGCAGCTTCAGTGCTGTCCTCTAAAGTAAATTCTTCTGGGGGGGAGGGCCACTATCCTTTACAAAACATTTTCTTTCTACTTGAACCCCTGGTATCAGCTCTTCTTTTCCCCCCACCCTCCCACTCTCTGAACCCTTGATCAAAGAATGTTTTTGAGGATTGATATCTGACTTGTTCATTTCACATAATTGAAAATCATTGTAGGGTGTGTGTGCGTGCGCGCGCGCAAGTGTGCACGCGTGTGTGCACGTGTATACACAATTCATTTTACCTTAGTTTGAATGGGACCGCTTTTCTACTTGAGCCATTAAAACCTAAGTAACACAAAGTATGAACATAAAACAAAAAGATTAAAAAAACAAACACATACTAATTCTAGTTAGGAATGTAATCATGATGTTACAGCTTTTAAAATCCAGTTATGTTTAGGAAATCCCACAAACGTAGATCACCGATTTGAATGAAATGCATAAATTTGTAGCAAAGCTTTGTACTTCCAAAATAACAAAAAATTACCAAAGAATGCACAAAATTAATGTTTCTTCCAAATTTGTTTCATATCCTTGGTTTCTTCACCACTGTTATGTGAAGAAGGAAAGCAAAACAAATGAAAAACTAAACTCAGAATCACTAATGTTATCGATCGGGAAACAAATGAATTAAAATCTAGCAATCCTCAGCAAAAAAAATGCTGTACAAAGAAACAAATTTGCATAGAAAATGATGCAGCATACTCTGCAAAACATGACCCTGAACACAATGGTACATATATCTTTTTTTTTCCTATAAGGTATAGAAATGCAAGTTCTCCTTTTGGATATTGTGGATGGGTAAATGTTTTGTCATGTGAAGAGTGGGCCAGGAACACATTGACGATTCTGGGGAGAGGATGTGTACTGTAATAGTTTGATTGAGAAAGTGGATTCTCTAGCAAAAAAATTTTTTTAAAAAAACCTAGAACTACAAGACAAAGGTAAATGAGACTTCTTGTCTATCTTAGTAATATTTAGATGGACATGCAGTCCACTCTGCTTGTGAAGAGGCTTTGGTTCAGCTTCCAAATCTCAATTGCTTGGTGCCGTTTCCTATGAGAATACTCAGAAGAGATTCTCTTCAACAGCAAACCTATCTTAGCATCTTTAGCTGTACTTCAGCATCTCCACATACAGTACCACTGTAGTCATCAAAAGAGGCTCTGTAAGGCACAGCAGTGTCTCTAGCCAAAAGCGATCCAAGTCACTTCGTCTCATTGTAATTAGCCCCCGTCCCCTTCGTTTGTCTCACCTTCCCACATGCACTCAATCCCATCCTTCAGAAGTGAGTAGTCACAGCCAGGCATTAAATTAAGAGACAACTGGATGTGGTTGTACAGAGCCCTAAATTCTTCAACAGTGTTAAACTTGAGGGAAGAGCCAAAGGTTTGCTTGCCACGTTTTGCTTGTATCATTTTTAACGAACCAGAGTGCCCATCTGTTCTGTAGTGGCTGTTTCATATAGTGTTCTGGGTTAAGCAGCCTCCTGCTTAGATTCTGTCTTCTCTTCTGTAGGTAGCGCATTAGGAGTAGGAGTGGTTTCCGGGTCCAGTCGCCATCTTAAATGGCTCTTCCTTATGTTTTATGTACTGCAAATGCCAACAGCTTTCCACTGCTGACGTGGCTGACTTCATAACCCACTCTATTGTCTTGGCAGTGTGGGCTTTTGGGTAGCAATTAAATTAATAGAAGATGAAATTTATTACATGTTGAAAATGATGGTTTGAGGCAGTCATGCAAATGAATATGAACTTTTCTAACAATGCTCACTGATTATTTTTAATACTTGCATTGTATTTTCATTTTTGTAGTCTTACATACCATTCATCAGTGCCTGCAGCTAATTGAGAAAAGCTAGTCACTGTGATTGGTTAATAAAACAGCAGTTACTTTCGTGCTCATTTTCTTTGAAGTAAAGTTATTGTAATTAGAAATATTTCATAGACACAAACAAAAGACTTGTGGTGGATGCGGGTGAAATGCTTTGTGCATTTCAGTCTAACAAATCACTAACGTCTTGATGCTGTCTTGTTACCAGGGCACAGAGAAAGCACTTTCCAAGCTTCGCGAGCTTTACCCTGACCTCCAGGTTCTAGCCGTTAGTGGGAACTACTGCACCGACAAGAAACCTGCTGCTATCAACTGGATCGAAGGGCGGGGAAAGTCTGTTGTTTGTGAAGCTATCATTCCAGCCAAGGTGGTTCGAGAAGTGAGTGATTGGATGAGTTTTCTATTTAGATTTAAAAATTAGGGAAAGGTGTGTGCACATTTTAATCAAAGTTTACTCTCTAGGGCAGTGGTTCTCAACCTTTATAATGCCGTGACCCTTTAATATAGTTCCTCGTGTTGTGGTGACCCCAACCACAAAATTATTTTCATTGCTACTTCATAACTGTCATTTTGCTACTGTTAGGAAGTGGGCGACCCCTGGGAAAGGGTAGTTGAACCTCCCCCCATTCCCAGTAGGGATCATGACCCACAGGTTGACTGCTGCTCTAGGGATATATTGTAAATGACAGAAGACTTCACCTACACTGCCCACTTCTCTGTGGCATTGTGGCGTTATAGGAGCACACTTTACTGAGAGACTCTTTATTGAGGACAGGGGGTTCTGTGGGACTACATCTGAACTCTCTTGCTTATTGAGGTTCATAAAAATTGCTCTGGGTAACTCACTTGGCTTTTCTTAAGGTATTAAAGACGACTACAGAAGCGATGGTTGAAGTGAACATTAACAAGAACCTGGTGGGCTCTGCCATGGCGGGGAGCATAGGCGGCTACAATGCCCACGCGGCAAACATTGTGACTGCTATCTACATCGCGTGTGGGCAGGTGAGGGCTCCGCACGCCACCTCTCATCTATTCTATTGGTCTAGATGAGGGATTTATATGTTGTATTTTTTCTTTTCTTTTCCCAGGATGCAGCACAGAATGTTGGTAGCTCAAACTGTATAACTTTAATGGAAGCCAGCGGTCCCACAAATGATGATTTGTATATCAGTTGCACGATGCCATCTATAGAGATTGGAACTGTGGGTGGAGGTACCAACCTGCTACCTCAGCAAGCCTGTTTGCAGGTACTGAGTATCAGGCACAATGGCCTGTCCTCCGGCATACTTCTGATTCCCTAGGGTTCCCGTTTCTTCCTAACTACATCCCAGGGGCTCCAAAAAATGCCATTATCTTTCCATTCTCCATTTTCCACAAACTTTTTGAAGCCCTTTTGCATTTGCAGTACATTCAGGAAGTAGATGAGAGAGCAGGTGCTGAATGCTCTGTGTATCCTGAGCAAGGGTACTGCCAGCCCGGCTGCAGGGGTCAAGTTAGCCTTGGTGTGGGTGCTCATCCTTAGTGATTGTCAAATCCTGCATATTTTGCCCTTGAATGGAGGCCAGCTCTCTTCTGATGCCCTTACTTGAGGTGACTTAGCGGTGCATGGTTGCTGCAGACATTCAAAGTAAACTTGATGTTTCGCTCTGACCACAGATGCTAGGTGTGCAAGGAGCCTGCACAGACAATCCTGGGGAACATGCCCGGCAGCTGGCGAGAATTGTGTGTGGAACCGTCATGGCTGGGGAGTTGTCCCTGATGGCAGCATTGGCTGCAGGACATCTTGTCAAAAGTCACATGATTCACAACAGGTAAGCCCTAGAGGCAGAGTAAATATGCTTTTCATAAAGAGTCTTGATGGTGTAGTGGCCTATGAGTCAGGCTGCTAACACAGGCCAGTGGTTCAAACCCACAAGCTGCTTTGCAGAAGAAAGACGAGACTTTCTATTCCCGTAAAGAGTTGCAGCCTTGGAAACTGTTTTATAGGGATGCCAGAAGTCAGAATCGACTCTGGCCATATGTTTTTTAAACAGTTCAAAGAATGCAGCATCAAATCTTATTACTCTGGAATTTGAACCTCTGTGTTGCTGATGCTCTCACTGCTTTTTCTCCATCCCAGGTCAAAGATAAATTTACAAGACCTCCAAGGAAGTCGCACAAAGAAAACGGCTTGAATAGCCTGATTTTTCTGAACTAAAGCATAGGCACTGGGTTCTGAAGGACTAACATAAAATCTGTGAATTAAACAGCTCAATGCATGTCTTGTTGAGGATGACTCGACTTGGTCAGGGTGACGGCGGCTTGGCGGGCTCCCTCGGAGGGCTCTGAGGTCCTCTGGCAGGCCTCCGGTCTGAAACCAGCCCAGTGCTTTACGTGCCGTGTCTTTGGGAAGCTCGCAGCATGGATCTTGGCGTGAACGCATCACAGGCAGTCATCTGCGGCTCCTTTCTGACAGACTCCAAGCTGGGCATCAAGTGTCTCGAAACTTAGGAAGTTCCTGGTGATCAGTGTGAAAATCTTCCTCTGGGTTAAAAATGGATTTTAAAATTACACAGTAGCTGAAAAAACCTCTGATTTTATAGTTAAATTATTATTAAGTCTGGGTTATAGAACTTTAAATATAAGAACTAAGTTTATTTTTTGTGAACTAAATAACTTCATTTGGTGCTGGTCTATCTTGATTTTTGTTGTTGGGGTGGGGGGTAGCTTCCAAACATTATTCTTCAAAGGGGACCTGCTTTCTTCAAACGAAGACTAACTCATTCCTGACCAACAGAACGTGCTAATAGTACTCTAGGAAGAGCGTGAAGCACTGCCGTTATAGCTGCAGGCTGTCTGTTCTGAGGTCTCTTGTCCACACGTACATGTTTGTCCAGGTTGGCTGTGTCCCCAGAGGGCTTTATGAAGTGCAGTTTTGTGCTCTGTCCTAAAGATACAAGGGCTCTTCATGTTCAAGAGGGTGACTGTTTATTGAATATAAACACACGTGTGACCTCTCTCAGAACTCAGTGTGGAAAACATGTGTTTAAAAAAACAAAACAAAGCAAAACCATTCTCTTAAGCCACATGGATTTGTTAAAAGTCATTTTATTTAGTTGAAAACTCTAGGTAGTTTTTTATAAACAATTGTGTCAAATCTGTATATGTTGTAATAAAGCTGTATGCAAGGAGTTTATTGAAAGTGTTCAAGAGATCACTTTCCCCCCCAAATCAACCTGCATGTTGATAAAACACTCTGTCTGGGCTGGAGAAGATAGTGAGTGTTATTTTATGCTGGCCAGGCCACCCTGGTGTGGGGCCAGCCTAATACGAGGCAGTCTGCCTGGAGAGCCAGTGACAGAGCCACAGGGATGGCCCTGGAGGCCTGGGTGTTCGTTGCTCCTGAGCAGTGGGTGGGGGCTGGGGGGGTACTGAAACGTGCACACCGGGCTCTCTGATGGGCCCAGAGCAGCTCCTAGCTTCCTCGGGCTCAACAACGATTGTTGAGTCTCAGATTCTTTTTCTTTTTAAAATGTGTAAGTTTTGTATAAACCTTAAAGAACTCTATTTTGTATCACCTGACGTTGCCAGTGTTGGTCTTGGAAAGCCGCTCTGTCTCATGAGCAGGGGCACTTGTGAAACATTCCACGAATGCTCTTGGCCACGTGGGGCACTTCTGGGTGGCGGTGGTGTCCGCTGTGTGTTTTGGAGATTGGCCTTTTCTGTTGTATGTAAAGTGTCAGTTGCTTCTCTGACTGCAGCCAGTGACTTCTTATTTCTCTCAAAACTCCACGGAAGTAGCAGTTAGAGTATTCATTTTGGCGAATGTAACCAATACCATCCTGCTAAAGGAATGTTTTGTATAATTCCTCAATTGTATACCTTTGGTTATAGAGTGCATTTTTCCAGTTCAAGTAAATTATGAAAAGGAAGTGAATACTGATGAAGTGTGAGTGGTCGACCTTTTTTATTGGGAGTAACCCCTGGGGCCTCAGGTCTGGGAGCCAGAAGGATTATCTAGAAAGCGGTGCCCTCAAGTTCACATCGGGAGTCCCGTGACCCCCTGCTTGCCAGTAATGTTCTCCAGCTCTACATGAACAGCAGGCTGGGGTGTGGGCACTAAAGGATACTTCAAGCGGTGCTTCCTGCTTCTGCGTATCTGATTCTAACCTGAGAGTGAGTTTATGATGCTATGCTCCCTCTGCCTCTATCCTTCCCATGTTCCCTGGACATTTTCAGAGGCAAGTGGTCACCACTGTCTGCGAAGGAATAGTGCTCTTCGGCCAGCAGCATTCTCGGTGGCTGCCCAGGCAGTGTAGCACAGAGAAGGTGCGGTTCTGTTTACACTGACCTGTTCCTTGGGGGAGTAGTCACCCCCACCGACCCTGAGTGCTCAATCTCCATTTGATTGCAAACAACAAAGCAATTTCTTTCAGCCATATGGGCATTTATTAGCCAGCAGGGTTGGGGGCGGATGGCTGGGCAAAGGGTAAAAAACGTGTTTGAGAAGATTTCTCCTGGGGGCAGGTGGGAAATATTGTAGAATTAGTTTATTTCCAGCATGATTAATGGTGTCTGAGTACACTCACTGGGGATTTCAAAATAGAGCAAAATGAAATTCTTTTCCAAAATGTGAGAGTTCAGGCCATGTTGAAGTCTAAGGAAAGGTTCTGGTGGCAGACTACTTCTGGATATTGGGGGTGGGAGGGCTGGTTGTGCGGAAGAGGAATTAAGGACAGCAGCCCAAAGTAGCGACCATCACGTGTGTATACACTACTGAGGTGGCAAAATTGAGTAGGGCTGCAAATTTGTAGAACTCAGTATGGCAGGGAGGAGGGGGGAAAATGAGCTGATACCAGGGGCTCAAGTTTGGAGACTGATGATGGTGACAAATATGCAAATGTGCTTGACATAATAGATGTGTGTGTGGATTTTGATAAGAGTTGTATGAGCCCCCAATAACAGTCGTCCAATTCATAACGGTAGCAAAATTACATTTATGAAGTAGCAACGAAAATTCTATGGTTGGGGGTGGGGGTCACCTCAACATAAGGAACTGTATTAAAGGGTCGTGGGCGCGGCCTTAGGAAGGTTGAGAACCACTGTCCTACAGGGTCGCTCTGAGTCAGCATTGCCTCCATGGCAGTGGGTTTCACTTTAAAAGTGGCTGATAGGTTTGAACCACTGACTTTTCAGTTAGCAACTGAGTGCTTAACCATTGTGGCTCCAAACAAACTCCAACTCACTGACTTCTCGGCCCTAGAGGACACTACCCCTGTAGGTTTCCAAGACTGCAAATCTTTACAGGTGAAGAGCCTCCTCTTCCTCCCACACATGGTAGCTTTGAACTGCTGGCCTTTTGCTAAGCTGGCCCTATGCCACCAGTGTTGCTTATCACAGCTGGAGTGAATAAGCAGAACACAAAAGGAAGCCCGGATACAGCGAGTGTTTCTTACACTTGAGTGCACGCCTCGCTCGGGAGCTTGGGCAAAATGCAGGGCTGGAACCCACCTCCAGGGTTCCTGATTGAGTATGTCTAGGGTGGAGCCAGGGGGTTGGCAGTTCTAAATTTCCAGGTGTGGAAGTTTTAATTAGAGCAAGAGGTGCCTGGTGTTACAGTAAAGGAATGCACAGCATTTAGAAACATAAGTAGAAGCACACAGTTGGTAAAGCCCCCGTAGTGTTTCAATAGGAAAACAATTTGGATTAATTCTAGAAAGGTGTAACAATGAACAAACTAGAAGATGTCATTTGGATCTATGGTGCTCCTGCCCCAGTGCCACCTAGGGTTCTTCACATGGTAGTGGTGGCCCTCCCTCCCTGCCCTGTTGCTCCACAGTTGGACTCTTGCAGTTCCCCAGGAGTATGACTGCGGCACTGAAGCAGGTGACCCAGGAGCAAGCAGTCCATTCAGCAGACCCTGCCAATTGGCTAATTTGGAAGCCAGTTGACTGAGTACCTACAATAGGGAGGGCTCTGTGCCAGCCACCTGTCTCAGATTGCTCTAAAATTGACGGGGATTGCAGGCAGTAGAAGAGTTGATGTGTGATGGGCAGGCCAAAGGGAGAGAGGGTCTCCTGGCCTGCTTTAATTACCCACTGCAACTTGGGTTTAGTGGAATCAAATCAAAAGGCTGTTCTAGTGAAACTACAAAGTTTGGGTCCGTGTCCTGTTGTAGGAGTTCCTGATGGAGGGTGGGTTAGGGTTCTCTAGAGAAACAAAACCAGAATGTTAATAATTTTATATATTTATACAGATATAGATGTATAACATAAGAAGTAAGCAGTTAATTAAATTATAAAGCAATACAAATGTAAGGTGACCAGATTTTAACATTGGTAAAGTGGGACAAAAGTGGGACACCGTTGATAAAACTCATATCCTGGCAAAATAGCCACATGGCAGCCGAAAATTGTATACCCTAGCTTGTCGTGCATTCTTTCCAAAAATCGGGATTTTTTAAAAACACCATGGGACGTGGGAAAAAAATGTTAAAAATCGGGACGTCTGGTCACCTTATACAAATGGCTCAGTGCAACTCACTCCCGTGAGATAGTTGTGAGACACCGGCAGTCCTTCAAGTCTTGAGGGCCACTGGGTAGTCCTCTGTAGAGCAATTCAGGCTCTCCATGCACAGGCAGCAAACAGCAAGGCAGGTCACAAGCAGTCAGCCAGATGACAGGGTCCAACAGTCCCCAGCTCAAAAGATGTAAATTGCAATGGTGTGACGAAGCAGGTCTTGAAGGAACCTCAAATTACAGTGACACAGTCCGTAGGTTAGGTGTCCCACAGGTAGTGTAGCTTGCAAACTGAGGCACAGAACAAGCAAGGCAGCCAGCCGCACACTGGTCCGATGATCAAAGAACAAGAGACAAGAAAGGCGAGGCTCGCCCAGCCATTTACCTCGCTGCCCTTCAATTAATCCCACGTGTTTACCAGCCAGGTTGGCACAATAAACTGTTTCAGATGGTATCACCTGTGAGAGCAGCAGGCCTACCTCTCCAGCCTCACTCACTCGCCTACCTGCACAGAGCCACCGACCATGGCCTCCAGCAGATCTGGGTGCTCCCATGCACACCTGTAACAGCTTCCGGCCGCTTGCTGAGAGCCTGGTAACTGCAAGTGGACAGCTCCTGGGGAGAGGCCAGTGAGCTTCACTCACATGTATGTCGATAAAGTCGGTAGTGTTAAATTATGGACAGTATACACATGAAAATGGCACACGTGTACAAAGAAGCCTTGTTCCCCTTGGACCCCAGTGGTACCACCATGGCCGAATCTCCTCCAGACAGGACTCTTCGAGGCAGGCCTCGTGCCTTTGCTTGTTCCTTTGGCACTGAGGCTTACATTTAAAAGCTCTCCATGCTTCTTGTATTTCAGGTACAAGAGAGAGCCCATCTTAGAAATAACTTAAAGAGAACGTTTATTAAGTCTTAAAAGATGGTGTGAACTATACCTGGGCAGGGCAAAACCAGAGGAAACTGGTGGAGGTTGGAGCAGTCCTGGTGAGTCAATTGGTTGTCCAACCTGGGACAAAAGACACTTCAAACCATCTAGTAGCCGGATCCCTCCGAAATTTCCCTCAGGACAGCTGGTGCCCTCGAAGCTCCCCCCACACTCGGTTTTATCCGGGAAAGCGAATGATTAGAGGTCTTGGGGCTGGAACGATCTAAACTTGTTCTCAAACTTCAAATAGGTAAGAAGCCCAGCTCACGGACGTGGAATGTGAGTGCCTAGTGGGCCAGACACATTATCTGGATGAGGGGGACCATTATAAGGTGACAAGATTTTAACTGGTAAAGCGGGACACCATTGATAAAACTCATATCCTGGTGAAATAGCCACATGGCAGCCAAAAACTGTATACCCTAGCTTGTCATGCATTCTTTCCAAAAATCGGGACTTTTTGAAAATGCCATGGGATGTGGGAAAAATTGTTAAAAATCGGGACGTCTGGTCACCTTACATTAGCACCAAGTTAAAATGGCATCTAAGCAATCAAGTTAGGACACCTGATAGGTCATGGAACAAAGGGACTGTCACAAATTTCATGATTGTGATTCACGATTCACTACATCACAGTTGCAGGTGGGACTACAGAAGCAGAAGCGGGACCATGACTGGGACAAGTCCATCGTTTAGAAGGGTTTCCAAGATTGGTCCCAGGGTCTTATGGCCCATGCAGTCAGGGTGAAGATGGATAGATAGGGCATGGCTGTCTGAAGATGATCACAGCAGGGCATTTGCTGCTGGCTGGGATGCGGACCTGTATATTTAGTATCGACCATCAGAGTATCCTCGGGACTCAGCAGAAGTGGCCCAGCCAGTCACCTCCTTTTACGTCATCTCAGCAGTTCAAAGCTGACTAGGCTTAACTCTTTGCAGCTCAGATCCCTGTGGGCTGTCACAGCATCTGCTTTCCAATTCTCCCCCCAAGTAAAACCAAATTCACTGCCATCCAGTCGATGCCAACTCGGTGGCCCTACAGAACCCGTAAAACTGCTCCTGTGGGTTTCTGCGAGTAATTCTACAGAAGGAGAAACCATCTTTCTTCTTAATGGCCACTGGCGGTTTTGAACTGCGGCTCAGCTTGCAGTTAGCAGCCCAATGCTGTCTTTGTAAAGCCAAATCCTAGGGGAAAAGAACATGGTGTTCCTGCCTGTGGGTCTCATCTGTATGTACCTCTCTCTCATATCCCTCTAGGGTAGCTTGAAAACCAAGCAAGCAAGCAAAGCCAAACTCTCTGCCAATGAGTTGGCGCTGACTCATCTGGACCCGATACAGCACAGGGTAGAACTGCCCCCTTGGAGTTTCGAAGACTAACGGGAGTAGAAAGCTTGTCTTCCCTTTAGCGTCTCCATTTCTGCTTCCTAGGCAATCAGGCTAAAAAGTCTCTGTATTAGAGATTGAATTCTGAGCACCCGGTTTGCAACAGGTTATGGA